ATACAAACGTAACTGCGTGTACATGCATATACATGTATGTATATACATAAGTACATGCATTTATTTATATATAACTAAACTCAGTGACGCGACAGCCCATAGAGGGCCAAGGCCTACTGTGCCCATCTCAGTTTTTTTTACCTTGGGCTCTGGGGTGCAGGAGCAGATGTTCCGGTTAGGTGGTCAGCCGAACGTGAAAAACCCCAGTGTTTAGTTCCCAAGCATGCTTGGTACTCATTTATCGACCCACTGAAGGGATGAAAGGCTGAGTCAACCTTGCCCGGCCCGAGGATTGTACTGAACTTGAGTTAGCGGTCTGAGGTCGGTGTCCACTGGTCTGAGTTATCTATGTCAAAATTATCTANTATATACGCATTATGCAAAAATCATTTGTATGCTTGAACTTACAAACGCAGATAGAGTAAACTTACATGCTCACATACACGTACATATAATATGTGTATACCATATATGAATTTATGTAATTACATTCACACAAAGATACATGGTACAAACGATCAATATGTGTATGCATGAACATAAAATATTTGTATGTATGTACAGTTCACAAAAAATTGACCACCCTGAATATACTTTTGATCTAATGATCAGATCTTCCCTTAATTGGACCCAATCTTAATGATTCGAATGGATGACCTTAATTACCCTAATTAATCAGAGAAGGTACTATTTAAAGTTACGAAATTAGAGACAAAAACGTACCTTCTGTGAATAAATATACCTATATTTTGAATGAATTGAATTTCCGACCTCAAAATATAGGAAGAATGCCGCAATCTGTGGAAATATGGCCCCAATAGTTTGGTCAGGAGAGTGAACCTCTGTATGTTCATTTTACTTTTTGTCTATTATGCCATATCTCCAGTACTCTTTAAGGGAATTGAACCTTTCTTGCATTCATTGTAAAATTCTTTCATCTAAAGATATTTCATGCAAAAAAAAACTTTTTTCAAAAAATATTTTTTTAGCATTTTATTTAATACTAATCGAAAAATGTTTTTAATTTTAAGGTATACAATTTTCACATTATTTTTAAAAAATTTTGTTTTGCATGGCAAAATCTGTCTAATAGTTTAGTAAAAATTGGACTTGAAATAAAATAATAAAATTGTTAAAATTGTTGTTGACTAATAAAACTATTTTGATAAATTGGTTTTCCATACACTTCTCTCTTCAATTTGTATTAAAATCTCTTTCTTTATTTTTATGCACCGCAACACAATTGTCTCTTTTTTGAAAACACATTTTTTTAAATGTTCTTTTTTTTAACTTTCTTTATCCTATAATTCTAAATAGGCTTTATAGGGTGATGGTTAGTACTCGGTCTTACCCTGAAAGCAGAGGTTATCGAAGCAAAACTACCATGCTACTACTGTACTAAATCCTTATTGTTTGTTAGGGTATGAAACTTTAATATACGTATAATAAGTTGGGCATAAAATAATTTTATAACTCTAATGACCATTAAATAAGGATAGCAAAACTGCAAGAGAATATTAGTGAGTTGAAATAGTAAAACAAGCTTATCTATATTGATGTCATTCGAATTGCTCAATAAGGCAGCTCTTTCTTCTTACTTATAGTAGAATATATTCCAGTTTGTTCACTAATTTCACCGAAATTGAGGGTTTCCCCCTATTGCCTGTTCTCGCCCCGCTCTCCCCTACTAAAATGATAATTATTCGATTAAGTTCCTTCTTTTTCTGGATATAAAATTTAATTGTCAATTTCCATATCTCTTACTTTGGAGCCTTTTTTTCTGTCAATTTCTTGCCAAATATTATTGCCTGATACAAGAAACATAATACATTGTTTCATGCCTCACCAACGGCCAACGTTTCATCACTTATTTGCTGTTTATGCCCATGACCAATTTCATGTAATGTACTCTAATTTGTTGATCCTACATTCAACCAAAATGATTCGATTAATGTTGAAACTGCAGATATATAATTTTTGCTATAATAGGTTCAGCTTTCAGAAAAATCCCTATTTCTCTTCTTTTTTTTTTCTTCTTTTTTTTTTTGCCTTTTCATGTCACCACATCTTCGATATGCACTTGCAATTTGCGGTGCCATGTATTTTTAATCCACTGTAACTCTATGTAGAGCAGCAAAACACTGAATCTTTTGACGATCACATCACAACTTCGATATGCACTTGAAATTTCTGGTGCCATATTTTTTTTACTCCACTGTATCTCTATAGAAAGCAGCAAAACGCTGAATCTTTTCACGATCGCTTCACAACTTCGATATGCACTTGAAATTTCTGGAGCCATATTTTTTTTCATTCCACTGTATCTCAATAGAAAGCAGCAAAACGCTGAATCTTTTCGCGATCCTTTCACATCTTCGATGCGCACTTGAAATTTGTGGTGCCATATTTTTTTTATTCCATTGTATATCTATAAAGAGCAGCAAAACGCCGAATCTTTTCACGATCCTTTTATATTTCGATATGCACTTTTAATTTACGGTGCCATATTTTTTTAATGCACCGTAATTCTACGTAGAGCAGCAAAACACTAAATCTTTTCACGATCGCTTCATAACTTCGATGTGTACTTGAAATTTGTGGTGCTATATTTTTTTTATTCCATTGTATATCTATAAAGAGCAGCAAAACGCCGAATCTTTTCACGATCCTTTTATATTTCGATATGCACTTTTAATTTACGATGCCATATTTTTTTAATCCACCGTAATTCTACGTAGAGCAGCAAAAAAATGAATCTTTTCACGATCGCTTCATAACTTCGATGTGCACTTGAAATTTGTGGTGCTGTGGGGGGCGGAGTTAATCGACAATACCAACCGTCATCTATCAAAAGGTACCTCGTGATAGAATCAAGTTAGAATGCTTTATATACTAGTGAATGATGTTAAACTTTCATAGTGGTAGTTACGCCACAGTACTCCCCCACCAGAATTTTATCAGAGATATAATTCGATGAACAGATCTCACTGGTTGCTGTACATGTGAAAGACTGGGAGAGAGTCCCCGGATTTTTGAGTGCTGATTGTGAGAGGTGTATTAACATCACAGTAGAAGTCGCTCCTGTGTTGCCATTAGCAGTCGTGAGTATGCAGACGTTGAGTGTTCGAGACGAGACTGAGAAGCAACAGCGCAGGAGGTGAATGATGCATTCACAAATAGCAAGTCAACCGTACAATGTGGACTATCCATCGAAGTAGGCGTAACCGNTCACGATCGCTTCACAGCTTTGATATGCACTTGAAATTTGTGGTGCCATATTTTTTATTCCATTGCATCTCTATAGAGGGCAGCAAAACGCTGAATCTTTTCGCGATCCATTCCAATTCTCGATATGCAATTGAAATTTGTGGTGCCATATTTTTTTATTCCATTGTATCTCTATAGAGAGCAGCAAAACGCTGAATCTTTTCACGATCCCTTTATATTTTCGATATGCAGTTTTAATTTGCGGTGCCATATTTTTTTTTAATCCACTGTAACTCTACGTAGAGCAGCAAAACACTGAATCTTTTCACGATCGCTTCACAACTTCGATGTGTACTTGAAATTTGTGCCATATTTTTTAATTCCATTGCATCTCTATAAAGAGCAGCAAAACGCTGAATCCATTCACATTTTCGATATACACTTGAAATTTGCGGCGCCATTTTTTAATCCATTGTATTTCTATAGCGAGCAGCAAACAGCTGAATATTTTAATGATCCCTCCACAACTTCGACATGCACTTGAAATTTGCGATGCTCTTTTTTTTTAATCCAGTGAACGATATTAGTCAGTGGGGAGCAGCAAAACGGCGAGATTTAGCATGATCCTCCCTTTCCCACCGATAAGCATTATAAACTTGGGATGTTACTACTTTAATCCACCGTTTGAAATAAATTAATGAAGGGACCCAAATATGCGAATCCGTGATGAAAAACCGTGCACTCAGAGAAATGCTTGTGGTGTTATCAACATATTAGGTTCAAGTACCAAAGTATATACCAATGCAAAAATTTGTTCTTTCTATTTTGCGCTTCTCTTTGCACTTTTTTGTGTGTTCGACGTCTTGGATTCTGTATGATTGTAATCCTGGATGCTTATGATTTTGTTGTTTAAATTTTATCAAAGTTTAATTTAAATTTGGCACTTCTCTTTTTTTTACCTTTGATGATTGATCTTTTTAAAAACACACAACCTATCTCGCCAAATGTTCTTAAAGGCAGCGGAATAAATTTGAATTTCCCAGAACTAGTGAGTTGGTGAAAGTTTGCAGCTGATTACCGAAAGCGGATAGTGTAAAAAGCAGTAACTGAACAAATTTCGCGGCCAGATAGATTTAATGGAGACTAAAGAGCATTCATATCCTAAATAATTTTACTATCAGGTTATTAAAGTTGAAAATAGCAACATTTAATTGCACCAAATGCTTTTTCTCTAAATAATTCTGTATACTTACTTCTAGTTTTTCTTTATTTTTTATTAGTTTTATTGAATTAAGTTAAGTATCGAAATAATATGTAAGATTAATTTAATGGAGCAGAAATGGTTGCTTGTGTCATATCTTATAAAAATGATAAATAAAAAGTAATAATAGTTGTAATAATTCTCTAAGTATACATTCTGATATTAATGTTGTCAAAAATGATTCAAAGTTCAAAATGTTTAAATAAACTCATCCCAAAAAAGCATTGAATTGAAAATGACAGTTGACGAAAAATAAACAAACCTTGCATCTTATTTCAACTTGTTAGGAAAAAAAAATTTACGTGTACTTTGTTAGTATAAAAAATCCATAAATTATTGTTATTTTTAAGTGTTGTTCAAAGTTCCCTCACTTGTTCTCGAAAATTTAGGAAAAAACCTTTACTTCTTAGCTTTTTTTTTATTTTTCATTTCATAATGTCTTAGTATATTGATAAAGGCTAAATCTTCAATCACAGCAATGTTAAATGTAAACGTTAAAGTTCATGTTTTTTATCGTCTTTCCATGTACTTCAAATACACAAACAAATTTGGAAACGATGATCCACAGATAAAGTTACAGAGCAAATAAATGTTACAAGTAGCAATGTCGTTTATTATTGAATTCATTTAGAGGAAAATTCTGAAATAATCCTAAACTGAATAATCAATTGATCAAACCACCAGGTAGTATAGTGTTATCATTTATTTACGTAAAATGATTCTTAATAATAGTTTGAATGTTTACTTAATTAGAAGTTTTTGTTCTTAGAGTTATATCACTACGCAATGGTTTTTATGCGATAAGTTTATAATACAGTTTTTTTTTATGAATCCAAAGTAGCCAATAAAAAACGTCGAATCACAATACTTTTCAAGATATTTCTAATAAGTTATTCTAGGTAGTTTTCTGAATATTTAATTTGGTATTTTTTCGAATTTTTTTTACGTTCTTCATTTTTAGTTCCCCAACCCTACAATAGCAACTTTGCACCTGATTTATAATATAAGATTTGTAATGTGTATCTGTGTTTTGTTTTTCTTCCTTTTTGTGATGAATTTTAAATGGCCATAAATTTTGAATCAAGCAAAATTTTTAAGATATTTCAATAAATGATTCTTCTATGAATTAATATTTCTAAAGTTATATGAATCCATGCGTTTATTTTATTTTTGTGTGGGCTTCAAAATGTGATTTCATTGAATTAAATAATTGAATTAACATAGAATTAAACATTGAATTAAATTAATGGTAATTGCTTACTTTCTCTTCAAGAAGAAGATCACAGATACCTCACAAATGTGACCTATGACGTTGGTGCCAGCTGAAAGTTTATAAGCGAAATGGCGAGTTAAAGTCGAGCTAAGTTTCTTCACATAAATTAGAATGTAAATTAAGCTTTGCAATGTAATAATTATATGTCATTATTATTGATATTATTATAATTAATTTTATTAATATTAATGAATGTTAAGAACTAAGCCGTATCGTAAAATTCAAAAATGATACAGTTAAGTTAAGTAGCAGATGTAGACGAGAAATAATTATATTTTAACCAATTCGATGTGCAATACGGTGTTTTATTTAATTAACTTCACTTTAATTAACATTCTAACTTAAGTGGGAAAACTTAGCACTACTTCAACACTCCATCTTGTTTATAAACGATTAGCTGGTGCTGACGTCATAGGTCACATGTCCGGGAATCCGTAGTCGTCTTCTTGAAGTGCACGTACTCAACTTCAAAATTAAGAATGAAAGTTGATTTCAAAAAGAGCGACGCTTTTTTTAGGTTCGCATAAACAATATTTACTTTACACGTAAGTGCAAACGACTTGCTTTATTTATTTATTTTTTTCGTTCCCTTAGCAACGATTGTTTTTGGTGTTCTGAAAGCTTCAATGTTGAAAGTAAGTTATTATACTAGGGAGTCCAAGTATTTTTCAATTTTAATGTGATAAATGAGTTATTTACTTTTATAATTTATTTGAGAAGTATCATTTGAGCAAATCATTGAGTTATTTTCACGAAATAACGAAATAAGTATCTATAGTCAGTTCGTCATTGTTCGTCTACATAGTGTATTTGTCGTTAAGTTTTCTGATCACTTCTTGATATTCTGATCAGAACACCATCTTACGTCAGAGACAGGACTGTTAAATCTGAGTTTGAGTAAGTCGATCGAGTTTCTTAAGCGATTTATTAGAGTGAAAATTTGTTCTTTATTCAGAATAGGGCTTGTAAAATTATGATCACATGAAGTCAATTATATTCACTAGTTCTCTTAAATTTAGTTTACATTATTGACCAAATGTTACAAATTTTCATCAGAGTATGTCTCTATCATTAAGTCAAATATTCAGTTAATAAATTTAATCATATATGTGATTTTTACTAATTTTACTCAAAATGTAAATAATTCTTTTTATATCATATTATTAACTATAAGAGAATTCATGATTTTTTTAAAAAAAAATTAATGTAATTGCATCGCATTTATGCTTCAAAAACAAATTTTGATTTAAAAAATCTCGTAATTGGGTATAATATGAAAAAAACACAACTACTTCGATTTAGTATTAACAACATATGACGCAATGCTAAACGAATGGAATTTAGTTGTTGTTTATTTAGTTATTGTTATTAGTAGTTGTTATTTGTTTTAGTTGTTGTTGTTTATTTAGTTGTATTTAGTTTCAATAACTTTTCTTTATAATGCAATAAAATCTGGCGAGCAGCTATTTAAACGATCGAACACTTCGTTTGTTTATTTGTGGCTTGAAGTTAGGCTCGCAGAAAATGCCGTTCATGGGTTAAATTTAGTAGGAACAACACAACCTGTGACGTAGGCTATATTATACCCAATTATAACGATTTTTTTTCATTGGGTGAGTAACTAGGAGTCGGAAGAATTTTATAAATTATCTTATCTATTCGATTTCCTTAATGTTTTATGTTAAAAAAAACTGAGACAATTTGTTCAAGTATAACTGAAAGTTTTAATAAAAGTTTAAACTAAATTGAAAATTTTAATTTGGTTTTGACACTTTTATATCTATATAGGGCGTAAAAATGCGAAATACTAAATTACAGAGTTCGTATAGGAACGATATACATAAGGCATGTTCATTTCACGTCTTCTGGAATAATTCCTGTGGCTGTCTATGAGACGTCCATGCTTGTATAAGCTATGGATGAAATTATCCATGTCTCATTCACTCAGAAACTGTGGTGGATGTCTGACAGACGTCTACTGGTCTTCTGCTGGATCTTCCCTGTATCAAATATGGATGTCTTCTCGACGTCCACCGGGCAACCACGTGGACCTTTGTGGGTGTTAGCGGTGACGTCTAGTGGACAATCATTTTATGATTTTGTGATATATGGGTTGGATTGTTTAGGAATCTACATAAGATTCCTTTGGCTCTTTATGAGGCGTCCATCCCTGTATAAGCTATGAATGAAATTATCCATGACTCATTCACAAAAAAACTGTGATGGATGTCTAATAGACGGCTAGTGGTCTGCTACTGGATCTTCCCTGTATCAAAAATGGATGCCTTCTCGACGTCCATCGGGCAACCACATGGACCTTTGTGGATGTTAGCGATGACGTCTAGTAGACAATCATTTTATGATTTTGTGATATATGGATTGGATTGTTTAGGAATCTACTTAAGATTCCTGTGGCTCTCTATGAGGCGTCCATCCCTGTATAAGCTATGGATGAAATTATCCATGTCTCATTCACACAAAAACCTATGGCGGATGTCTTATAGACGTCTACTGGTCTTCTACTGGATCCTCCCTATATCAAATTTGGATGTCTTCTCGACGTCCACCGGGCAACCACATGGACCATTGTGAATGTTAGCGATGACGTCTAGTGGACAATCATTTTATGATTTTGTGATATATGGATTGGATTGTTTAGGAATCTATGAAGGACAAACAGACATTCAGTTTTTTATAAATAGATTGATGCAGTAACAAATGCTATTTTTTATTTCATACTTTTTTGCATATGTTTGCAATGTTAAAACTACTGTTGATAATACAAATTCACACTCAGACAAAGATTAAATAAAATAAAACTAACTATTTTCAGAAAAAATTGCAACAGAAATTCGTTTTATATAAGTTAAATATTTTCTAAAAAATGTTCGATTTATTAGTGAAAAATCATGATTACGTTACGAGATTTCGTTGACAGTTACAAGATATGAAAATACTAATAAAGTTTTCTCTTAACTAGTAATGTATATGTTTAAATCGTGTGGGAATGTCAAAAAATTGTTTTAAATATCTTATTGCTTTATTTTGGTTCCAATGACTTTCATACTATAATAAAAGACAATTTTATTAAATAGGAAAACAAAAAGAATCAAAGTATTCCTCGAGTTTTAAGGAATTCGGATAATAAAGAAAGTATGATATTTGATACGTATCCTTGTAAATTAAAGGATATTTCACTCCCACCAGGTCAAGGATCCTATGAAATACCAGTAAGTGATTATTTGTTTTCATAAATATTTTTATTTTGCTAGAAATATTATATTTACTTCATTATTTTCATAAAATAAGCAAAAATATTTTCTTTTTTTTCTCTTTCAATTTAAGACTCTCTTTCAGACAGGAAAAAGGGATTCTACTTTATCCGTGTTTAAGTATAGAGAACTTATTTTACCGGAATTTCCTTATTCATTCAATTCTTCGTTAATATTTTTGAACAATTTTCGTTTCATATTTTTCATTAAAATATGTTCCATTGAACCCAGCTTCAGAATATTAAGTTTTAAAGTTAAAACAAGTTTCAAAATTGTTTCAGTTTTTAAATTAATTTCATGTTTTACGTCATTGAAATATGTTCTATTGAATTCGTTTGAATTTTAAATTTCAAGGGCAAAGGCATTTTCAAAACTTTTTTAAAGTTTACATTTTAAAAATACTTACAACCGCAAAGTAAGAAGTTTAGTAACTACTTTCAATGAAACATATTTCAATGACTGAAAAGAAACGAAAATAATTCGAAAATATGAATTCATTACTAAATAAATAAGAAAATTCAGGACACATAATTCTCCGTTGGTTTATATGAATGAAATAAAATCTATTTTCTCATTTTGGGAGGTCCCTTGGATGACCGAATGTTTTATCAAAATGTGAAATTATGACTCAATCATCAAATTACAGATTTTTATATAAAATAAAATCGTTCATTTTTAACTCTTCCAGACCATTTGAATTTCATTGTTGTCTCAATTAAAATAGAATAGTTTTAAAATAGGCTAAGATAGTTTAGCAGGTAGGTTAATCATTTTGTCTCACCTCGTGTTTTCTCNTTTTTTGGTTGTCCTGCTATCCTCCATTCTTATAATGTGGCCTGCTCATTTAATCCTCTGAATTTTGATAAATTTAATGACATCAGGTTCTTTATATGCTTTGTAAAGTTCCGTGTTTGATCTTCCAAACCAGGTACCGTTTTTACTTATTCTACCAAAAATGCGAATGTTTTATCAAAATGTGAAATTATGACTCAATCATCAAATTACAGATTTTTATGCAAAATAAAATCATTCATTTTTACCTCTTCCAAACCCTTTGAATTTCATTGTTGTCTCAATTAAAATAGAATAGTTTTAAAATAGGCTAAGATAGTTTAGCAGGTAGGTTAATCATTTTGTCTCACCTCGTGTTTTCTCCTTATTTTTTCTTTCTTAAAATGTGATATACGATATGTCAGTTCTATTTGTTTGAAATATTAGAGAAATGTTAATTACATATTAAAATATGAACAAGACAAATTATTAATAGACAACTATAGCTGATTTTTTATTTAATTTTAAAGATAAATTTAAAAAGAAAATTATTGTAAGAACGATCGCGACGCATTTTTACCATATGCGTCCTGGTATTAGCTGTAAATTATTTAAAAATTATTGTTATGAACCATCTAGTTAATTATTTTTTTACTACAAAATAAACATATTAATAGTTTGAGACAGATTTGTATCCTTCTTAAAATAAAAATTTTTTAAACGAGTTCCTACCAATTTTCTTCCAAAATTTGAGAACGAAAGAACTTCTTAGAATTTTACTGTATTAATATGAAGTAAAAGTACTTGATTTCAATTTAAAACTAACTTGCCTACAACTAAAACCAACTTCAAAATTTGCTTTAATATATAAAAAATATTTAAACTAATTTTTTTCAAAAGTAGTTCTTGTAACTAATGTAGAGAAAAAAGATTTGAAAGTACAAAAATTGCCTAAAAATGTTTTAAAACAAAAACTAAACATTGTTAATGTAACTTTTTAAAGAATATTATCTAGGTTGAAATTGGGGATCCTGGATTAATTATTTAGCAGTGTTAGCGGGGTCCAGATTTCTAAGCTAGACTCAGTGGCGCGACGGCACATGTAGAGCCTAGGTTTACTGTGCCTGCCAGTTTTCTTGACCTTAACCTCTGGAGCAGTGTTTCCCAACCTTTTTTGTGCCGTGCCCCACCTAAGCCTTTCTAAAATTCTTATGCCCCCCTATGTAACATATACATAATTTTTAATATTAAAAAATTGAATTATTCGCCTAAGAAACTTAAATGATAGGTTTTAGGAAAAAATCACCAGGAAATTTTTAACGATCACAGTAAGTAAATTTTCAAAACATATAATGAGAAACTAAAATTCAAATTCGAAATAATTTTAGTATAATTTTTAATATAATCAAATTCGAAATAATTTTAAGATTTTTCGATAATAATTTTTTTAATTTATTGAGATCCTTGCCCTGGATGCTTGCGGCACAGAGGTTTTAAGCTTCAGTCTCAAGTCTCCCCGTTGTATTACATCCAGGCGATTTCTTTTTTTTACCAGTAAATCATTTACAGAACTAAATTCACATTCAGCTAAACATGAAGATGGAAACTGTAACAATAGTTTTCTTGCACATTTGGTTGAATTTGGGTATTTGATTTCTGTTTCCTCACAAAGCCATGCCACCACTCCTTTTATATTAAATAAAATTTTAAGTGACTCACCATTTTGCATTTCTGCGAGTTCTTCTTGATACTGCATATTTGATATATCAGACAAATCCACTAACATTGACTGCATCATCCGTGTTGGAAAATCAACTTGTTTTAAATCAGAAAAAGTTTCTTGCAAATCAGCCGAAAGAATTTTCAGATGATCGACAATAGCAAGTAAAGCGGTATCATTTACTTCACATTTTTGGAG